TCTCTCTCATATATATATATATATATATATATATATATATATATATATGTATATATATATATATAATTAATTAATTATTTAATTAAAAGAAAGAACACACACACCCTCCTCCACCTTCTCGGTAGTCTTCACGCTGTGGTACTCTCAACGTACCACTTCACGAACTTCCTCAGCCCGGTGGCGAGGTCGTGCCGTCGGCCGATACCCGAAGTCCCTGTCGGCCAGGCTGACGTTGGCTTGGGTGAAGGGCACGTCCTCGTTCTGCATGCGCGCAGCGTGACGACGTTCATCTTTGCCTTCCGCCCCAAAAGGTCCTCCAGGATGCCCGCCATCTTCGCCACCGGCACCGGCGAGGCGTTGCCAGGGTTTTATATTCTCAGCTGTGCAGGGCCTCGCTTCTCGGCGGTGTTGAGGGCGCAGAGGCAACCCTTGACGACGACATCGTCGATGTAGGTGAAATCTCGTTGCACGGCGGTGCCGTCGGGCATGCGGAAGAGGGTGATGGGCTTCTCGGAGGGGATGCTCTCGGTGAAGGAGAAGTATGCCATGTCGGGGCGGTCCCAGGGGCCGTAGACGGTGAGGGAGACGGAGATGCCGTAGATGTGGTTGCAGTGAAGCGTGGGCCTATGGCCTCTCCGGCCTTCTTGGTGGCGGATGGAGCTCGGAGAAGGGGGCTTCGGTGTTTGAGGCCGTACACGGAGGAGGAAGACTTTATGCATCTCATCAATCTTATCGGATGGCTATTGGATCGTACAAATCTAATGTCTCCTCGTTTTGGATTCCTCAACTTGTCGGATTCGGATCTTACCTCATCGGGTCGAATCCACCTAAGATCCGAATCCGAGATTTCTCTGCTTTTGTTAGTTCCGAGATGAAAAATAAAGTTTTACGTTAACAATAATTAACATCGATTATTATGATCGATGGATTGTAGGCTTAATCTAGAAAAATATTTTTATGATATAGGTGAAATTATTTATCCAACATTTTTATTTTATATTGAGTCGATCTCCACGTAGTTGAATTGTTAATGGGGGACCATTTTTCACTCATTAATTGTGTTTCCACATTATTGGAAGTAAATATTTTCCCTATCACATATCAAACCTTCCGCAACACATTCTCCTTTCGAGTCTTAACAGTGTTGGAAAACACTACTGTAGAGAGAACGCTGGGCTGATCTCCATGGTCAGATTGATTCTCATGTATCTTGGCAGCTCGGAGATCCCTAAAAACCAGTAGATTTTGCCAGACGTATATATAACCAAAGGGAGCAAGATTCACCTTGTGACCTTCTGTAAATATAGATTTGGTTTGATGAAGGAATTCTATAATTGTTCTCAGGAAAATGAAGCTGATGACAGGACAAAACTTGCACAGCAAACATGGGGGCCAAGACAAGCACTAAAGACCACACGATTCCACCGCAAAGTTTGGGGTGGTGACAATTACATCACGATATATGTATGTGTACATAAAATGCTTCTAAATTTACGTGCTTTTGTTTTGTTCCACAGATCAGCCACTTCTCCCTCATGCTGACTGGAGTAGCCCGCTGTTTCAAGTCCAACACTCCCTATTACCACGCCGGAATCCTCTGTTTTTACCACAGCGGCACCTGTCTTTGACATCTTTCTCGCAGAGTAGAAGTACATCCGGTGAAAAGGAGGAGTGTAAACATCAGTCCTTGCCTTATTTAGGACGGGAGCAAGAAGAAGACAGAAGACCAGCTCTTGAAACTGATAGATCGGTGCCGTCACGTGTCGGCCGGAGCACCAAGACGCCGACACCAGCAACCGACATGCACGGACCCGTTACGGCCTCCGCCGAGCAACGCTGATTGGGCTGCTTGTTCCTTAAATTGGAGGGAAGAAGAGAGTGTGGGGGAAGAGTGGAGATGGGGGTCTTGGGAGAAGGGTCGAGGTGGTGCTTCTGCTCGGGCGGAGGGAGGTCGGAGAGGGTGAAAGGTGGCATCTTTTGCTCCAAAGGTCCCGCCTTGGCCGCCATCTACGCCGCCGGGGGTGGGAGTGGCGGCGGCGTGGGGACTGGGTTCCTTATTCATCGTAACCTCCTTCTGACGACCCATGCCAACCTCCCTTCCGCCGCCGCCACAGAGGCCGCCGAGATCCGCCTCTGCCATGACCGTTTACCTGCCCGCCTTGCCCCCCAGAGGTCATTTACTAACCCTTGCCTAGCAAAATCCCCCTTTTTTTGGTACTCTAGTTCTGAATTCGAGTCTTCTCATGTGCTAATTCATTGCACAAATCTTTCCCTTTTCTGTCTCCTTTAGACTACAAGTTTCATAGATTCATGTTAAAACATCAAAATTTTAACTTGGGACTTGAGATTGGAATTCTAGTGCTTGAATTGTAGATAGATGTGGAAGTAGGCGAAATCATGACAGTGTGGTTATGAATGAGCCCGTATTGTTCGGTTAAGATCTGCAACCATGTAGACAGCCTTAGTGGAAGCATTAAATTGATAGCTGCTGAATGGTTAATTATATAGGACAGTTGTATTTATAACCACCATTATGTCTTCAACTGTGTAAGGAGCATAGGACTGTTAAGACTGGCAACTGGTTGGTTGCTGTTCTTTTTCCTTATTAAGAGTTTGATGACCGCATTGTTGACCGCATTTATTTAAATATATATATTTCTTTCTAACAGTGCTTCAAAATGTTTTTGCGGCTTAAGATGTCCAAGCAATGGATTCAACTAGCATGAAGATCTGATCTTTGTATTCATTATATATCACTAGATCAAATCTTTCACTATTATCAACTTGCATGAGATCTTTGTGTCAGTGGTTTTTATTGTGGTTGTGGTCATGATGTATATGATGGACCTTGCTAGCCACTGTTTGCAATAACTAAGGAAAGATACATAGCCTCGATTATCCGAATATTGAGAAGTCCAATTTATGTGGATTTCTTTTTCAGCTTAAAATCAGTATCTAGTGATTACATCTGCTTTTCTTGTTTTGGATATGATGGCTTTCCTGTTGATGTACATGTTTAACATCCTTGATAATATATCTTATGTGAGAATAGAATTGTGGCTGTTATTGCAACTTCTTGACTTCCGAAAGCTAAAGCGAGGGTAAAGCCAAAATATGGCTTCAGTTTATTACTCAATTGTGTACCCATGAACTGATTGCCGATGTGCATTTTGGTGCAAGCCTTTATTTCGTAAATTGGTGCATGAGCATAATGAACACTGTGCACATTTTTCCCAAGTGATCGAGAGAAGCAATCTGCAAGAAACATATATGATTTAACTACTTAGCGCCACCTGGGTTTACCAAATCTTGCAGTGAAATTTATTTGGTTTATGTAGCTTAAGGTAATATAGCTTTCTGCTTATTATCTCTTGAATCAAGGGCACTTCCTGCTTCCATGAATTGTAAATACAGATTATAGCAAACCAAAAGCTAATAATAATGTAAGATATTTACTTCTGTTGAAATTGTGCACCCTATAAACCATTTAGAATTCAATAAAGGCAATCTTCATAGTAGTTATGGAAAAATCTGACGTGCTTTTCTTGACATCAGTGAAGGTTAATCTATGTTTTACTTTTCTCAAATGCAAATTATTTATTGGAAAAATGCTCTTAAATTAATGGAATCTGGAACATTGCGGTTAAAAGAGTGTGTATAAAGTATAATCTATGCCTCTATATCTTAGAACATTAAAGTGTGTGACCTCTGTATCAACACATAGCTTCATCACCTTTTTGACCATGGCTGTCACAATTTCATTGTTCACTAAATTTTCAAGCAGGACTAGAAAGTATACCATTCTCTTTTCTTGGAATTCTTGGAGCACATTGAGTAGATGGATGAAATTCTCACTTTGCCTTTATCAAATTTGTTGAGCCGAGGAAATATAAGCATTTTCGTTTTCGGATAAGTTTAATTTATTGTAATACCAGAATATCTGAAAATTAAATCATGGGTAGAACTTCTAATTGTTCACAATCATATTATATATATACAGTTCAGGTTTTGATTTAAACACCACAATTATAGTCTGTACAAAGTATCAACCAAGAGGGCCAGTAACTGGATCAGCTAGATATCATTACAGATTCTATGATAGTGCTTAAAATGTCTGCATCCTGTAAGATGTCATGGTATAGTATTATTCACACCATTTCACTTTTGCATCTAAAAGGACTTTCATTTAAGAATTTATAGTTGTTGCAGATTAAACATACAGAAAGAAGGTATTCAGATCAGCACCAACTATGGTAGTTTTCTTGTCTAAATTTTAAGTAAAGCTCTTCTTTAGGATTGGGTATGAGATCTCATGTATTTGCTAAGATTTGATTATATGTCTTCATACCTCATAAGGTAAACACTTAGGACAAGTTAAATCTGAAAATTCATTCACTAAGAGTTAAATGGAAAATGTGAAGAAAAAATAAGTAGCAAGAGCAGTATGATTAAGAAACAGATGAGTACATGAGAAATGATAGGTGCAAAGAGACGTGTGCACAGATGTCTTTTGGTTTCGTTGTCCCTCTTTTCAGCTATAGCAGGAACATGTCTTGTGCCTGACTGAAAAGGATCACCAACAAGTCTGGTCTCCTTAATTGCCATATGGCATTCTGGCATCATCTCCCAAAGAGGCATCAATTATGTATGGTTAATGTTACATTGCAACTGATTTAGAATTTCTTCAGTTTGATATCAGTTACTGAATGGGTGAATTCCATGGCATAGAAATGGAGTCTGCTTTTTTCGTTTTAACTAAAAATTGTGTACTGTGGTAGGTGGCCAAAGAATTAGCACCCCAAGAATGGAGGTCAACCACCAAAATGATTGTACATGATGTGAAATTATATGGATTTAGACATAAAAGAGTATCAACCGAAATACAAAAATGTCCGATACAAAATTTTATTATCCACATCAAATTACGTAACAGATCAATATTTAATTGGTGCAGTTCCATGTTGATTTGATTGTCTGCATTAACTGCATAATGTTTTGCATCAAGCATTCATAATTTGTTCTTTTGCTTTAACAACAAAAGAAGATCATTTAAATATGTAGGATGATCTGTTGTTCTTTTGCTTTAACACTTTAACAACAAAAGATGATCATTGAAATTACATAATTTGATCTTCTGGTTCATGCTTAGTAATTTTTCCCTTGGTTAACCAGATTAGGCCATTGTACTCATGTTCCTTTTTTCTTGTTCCAGATTTTTCATAACCAGTTCTGTTCTCGATCTTACTATAGTGGGGCTTGATATTCTGGATAGTGACTCACCTTCAGAGGTGCAGCAGCCTCGTTACTTGAAGACCTGCTTCAATCCAAATATAGATCTGGGTAATGTGGTTTATCTTTTAGGGCACACAGACAAAAAGGAGCTGGCCGTCGGTGAGGGAAAAGTAGTGATAGCCACTGACAACCTCATAAAACTGTTCATAGATGGGGTGGCATGGTGCCCTGGATCCGCTGGTTTTGATGTTCATGGAAACTTAGCTTTTATGGTATGTGATCCCATGAAACTTGCCTCGTCACCCACCGGAAGATCTGCATCCTCTTCGTCATCTCTATCATGGAAGAAAGATACTTCTATGCAATTTGGGATCCCAATTCCAGTCATTTGTGATTGGTTACATCAGCACTGGGAAGGGAGCTTGGATGAGGTTAGCAAACCCAAGTTGTCTAAGATTCGATCAATGCCCACAGGACAGAAGAGTGGGAATTCTTGTGCTTCTTTCACCCTTCGCCGCGTCTTCAAGGCATTTGAGGAGGTGAATGATAATATCTTGTCATCCTCACCTGTCAATCGAAGATCAAAGTTTCAGCTTGGATCAAGCTGTTCAGCAAATTCAAATGCAATGTTCTCCCACGACGAAAACATGGCTATTGATTTAAGCTGTACCCATGAACAGGGGATTCCAACTCCGGAGATTTTTGAATCACCAAAACTCATTTCTGGGCCACTTCAGAAGAAGCAATATGCTCCAATCCAGCTCTTGGACATTAATTTCCCTCCGAGGGCTCCGAGATCTATCATTTTGCCACCGCCGCTTAAACAAGTACTCTCTGATGAAGATAATGTTCGAGGGTCTGAGCCTGGAAATGTGTTGAGAGAATATGACTTGTCACCAAAGGATGTACCACAAGCCAGTCGTGAAGGGAAATATAAGCTTCCCCCAATCGGCACTTGGCAAGAGGATCGCTGCAGTGTGCAGTCCAGTTCATCTCCATTGGAGATATCAGAGTTGCAGCATGAAGGCAATGGATTTGGTAGTGAAGAGGATACCATGTACTCTGCTGAAACCATGGAAAGCAGAAACATCCCAACCCCCAAAGAAACCAACCTCCAACAAGTAGGTAGGAGCCAGAGCTGTGTGAACTACAGCAGATGGACTTCCACTCGGAGGATGCCGACGGCACAGAGATCAGCCTCGCAGAAGCAGCGTGCCTTAACTCCTGCATGTAAAACACAATCACAGACCTCAGCATTGCCCCAAAGGAGCCATGATTTCCACAGTTCAAAAGTCTCATCAAACATGAAGCGGAATAGCTTAGAGAATCCAAGGAGACCCCGTCGAAGCACGGTGCAAAAGCCTCAAAGATGGATGTTCTGATCATTTGTTTGTCGGCAAAGAAAAAAAAGAGAGAAGAAACACCTTCGATCAGCTTGTTGAATCTGGAATTATGCTTCTTGTTATGTTCGTGCCGATACACTAGCTTTTTTGTTTGTGTGTTTGATATGTGCATAATGTTGTTAGATAAATAAGCAGATCCAATCTAAATGTTCAGATCTGATGGGTGATTGTCAGGCTATTATGGGATATTGTAGCTCTGTAAATCTGATTTATTCAGTGTTCCTCTCATCTTCTTATTGAATGAAAGGAAACAAAAGAAGGAATTCTTCTCTCCTTGTTGATTAAGATGAGCTTCTCAGCACTCAATAAATTCTTTGACAAGGCAGGCAAATAAGTGGAAATGGATACTCTTCCTCAACAAATATGGATCCAAACTCCTCTTCCATTTCTCCATCTCAATCTTCCATTTCATTTGGTGCAATGAAATGCGCAAACTAGACTACTAATATATGCCTTCCAGGCTATAACTACGTTGACTCTCATCATCGTTCCATTTTAATAACCTCAGCTTCCTCCCCATCCCTTCCTCTCTCTCTCTCTCTCTCCTCTGACACATTGCAGTCGAGATGCTGTCACCAACCCCTTTGCCCTACCTGTAGCCGTAGACTCCCAGAAAAGCTGCGCCCGCGAGAAGGAGAAGCTTAAACAACAACTACAGTGAGAGATACTGCTACAAAGCAGCTGCCAAAGAGCCACTCCTTCAAGTGTGAGAAGAGAAAGGGAGAAAAGGTGAGCCGGTGAGAGATCCGCCGTTCGTTGATCGTGGTCTGGACGGTGGATCGGGGACGAGTGAAAGAACCGGCGGTCAGAGGAGAGACTCACGTACCTCCACGGAATCTGGGATTGATTGGATGGGAAGTGGGACCCGGTCTACCGTGGCATGTGAGTGGCCGAGTGGGGCTATGAATTAGCTAAGTGCAAAAAATAAAATAAGTGAAGGGATAAATATATTATTATTATTTTTTCAATTCTAATATATTAAAAATATATTTATTTAAATAATTATAATTATTTATTATTTATTATTATTGATTACAAAATAATTAGATATAAGCAGATATAAAAAGAATTCGGCAACCGCCGTTCCTAATATTGTGGGCCATAAGTGCGGTATTGCTGAACACAAAGACGCCAAGTGTTCTCTCATCACATTCTGAGTAATTAGTAAGTCATCATTACGCCCAAACCGAGCTTATCTTTTCTCCTCTCTCTCTCTCTCTCTCTCTCTCTCTCTCTCTCTCACTCTGAAACGATTCCTCGTCGCACATCTCATGACCTCCACACCAAAGAGTACACTCAAAAGAAGCACGACACCTGCAAGTTATCGACATTGCCACAAGCAAGCGCAGGTTTCTTTCTTCCGTCGACCACGGCGAAGGATATCGCGGCCCAAACTTAGTCTGCTGGGGATCTCGGTGGTGGGGCCGAAAGGTAACCCGGCAGCGACACCGATTCTCTGGGCCCCTCGGTAGCTGAAACAGCTCGGTGAGGCTCTCTGCGTCTCTCGCTCGCTCGTCGCCGCCGTTCGGCTTTTGCTCTTTGTCTGATCTGTTGCCCTGTTGATGTGGTTCTGTTGCAATGCGACCAATTCTTCCGGTGTTCGTCTCTCTTGCTGCTGCTTTCTTTACGAAAAAGATGATCTTTTTTTCGTTTGGATTCTTCTCGTCTTGATATGGATGAGACGGTTAACAAAAGGAAGCTCTGTTCTTTGTGTTCTTCTCAACACAAATCCACTTCGGTACTCTCGACTCTCCCGAAACCGATCGATGATCATTGAGCAGATAAAGTTCATTCTCCTCGATCCGTTAAAGAAACCCTAAGTGGCGGTTTCTCCGAACACTTTCCAAACAGTGGAAAATTTGATTCGTCGCCAGTGCGCCTATTAGAACCGTAAAAGCATTCCACTCCTCGTCTTTTGCCGCACCTTTATCCAATCCCTCTTGTCTTCTCTCCCCGTTTTCGAGCAGAAAACCGCATAAAGATGGCGCCTTTCGCGCCTCCGTCGCTTCTCCTCGATCCCAAGCCTTCGAGAACCACAAGACGACTCCAGATCTTTCTTGGTGAGCGCCAATGCCACTGAGCCGGAGTGTCAGGTTTCCAATGTTTTCCTGCAGCATGACTGGTCGAGCGGTTCACCAACCTTTCTGCCACTTCCTATCTCCAGCTCTCACCTCACCTGCCGTTAGAGCTCTGCTCTCAGAGGAGTGAGGTAGGAGATTCCTGTCTCTCTCTTCTCTCTCTGGGGCTTACTTTTGTGACCTCAGTTCCGATTTGGACCAGGCTTCTGCAAAGCTTCGCCTTTACCATCTCTTCCAGCTGGCTCTGAGAAGGGTATGGTGGTTTGGATATTGGGAATGGCTTGTTGTTGCCTTTTCCTTCTGTTACAGTATGGGTTTCTACTGTGCCTCTTGTTTCTTTTATGAAAAGAGAAGGTTCTTTTAATGCTTCGATCCATCTTTTTCTGGCGAGATGTGTGTTTCTGATGGCTGGTTTTGTTTCACTTGATTGTGTAAAGCTTCAGTTCTCTGTCTCATGTGGCCGTTCTATTTTATTTTGCTTCTGTGGACACCCATTGCTACTGTTTCTCACTGTTCTCAAAAAGTTCTCTTTTCCATTTGTTGTTCCTTTTTGTCTTTAGTTGCTTCTGCGAGGAGGAAAGTAACACTTTGGTGGAAAGCCAAATAGTATCAATTTCTTTTGCCAGCTCTGTCTGTGTATTTGATAGTGAGTTATGGTTATGATATGAAGCTTGTTCCGACTATCTTAGTTTCTTTGTTGTCGTAGCTTTTCTCTCGTGTTTGCCTGTTCTTTTCTCTCACACAGGTATTGAATGATCCATTCTTATTGATGGGAAAGGGTAAGGATAAGAACAGCTTTGTGCACATCCTACTGAATTTGTTCTGCTTTGATCATGCAGATTACGCCTCTCAAATTAAAGATTGAAGTGCTCCAAGTTTTAGAGGTTCTCAGTAGCTGCATAAGCATGTCAACAAGAGGGAAGAGATCTCAGACGCTTCATGCCTTGTCATTCTTCGTTATCTTCGTCGTCCCCTACACGCCTTTCTTGCATGCAAGTTACACTGTTGAGATGGAGAAGTTGCTCACGCTGAGAGACTCACTTTCCCAAGGAAGAAACTTGTTATCTAACTGGTTCAGCGTGGAAAGTCCCTGCAACTGGTCAGGCATAACATGTGTTGGTCCAGCAGTTCAGGCCATAGATTTATCTTACACACCCCTTAACTCATCAATTCCGAGCTGCATGGGTGAGTTCAGACATCTGAAAGCACTCAACCTCAGTGGCTGTGGATTCTCTGGTCAAGTTCCAGATTCATTTGGTGATCTACAAACTCTGCAGTCCTTGGATTTGAGCAGGAATCAACTCTCTGGAGCTCTGCCTTCTTCACTTGCCAACCTCAAAATGCTCAAAGAACTTGTCCTTGACTCCAATTCCTTCTCTGGAGGCTTGAGAATCATAGTTGAACATCTGAAAGGTCTCACGAAGCTTTCGATCTCGGGAAATTCTTTCTCAGGGAGCATTCCACTAGATATAGGGAGCTTACAGAATCTGGAGTATCTGGACTTGAGCATTAACTACTTGTCTGGAACATTACCCAGCAGCTTGGAAAACCTCAGCAGACTCCTGCACTTGGATGTCAGCCGAAATAGGCTCTCTGGGTCCATCTTTCCTGGCATTGGTTCCCTTGGAGATCTCTTAACTCTTGACCTTTCTTCAAACAGCTTTATAGGATCTCTACCAAGTACCATTGGCAGATTGACAAGTCTAGATTCTCTTTGGTTGGGTCGCAATGGCTTCACTGGGAGTGTTCCAGTAGAGATTGGCAAGATGAAGCAGCTCAAAGTTTTCTCTCTCCACAGTTGCAAGCTCACAGGAACTGTTCCGAGGGAGATCTCTGAACTCAGGAACTTAATAGATTTAGACATTTCAGAGAACAAATTTGAAGGGGAACTACCTCGATCTATAGGAAATTTGGTGAACTTAATGTATCTGGTTGCAGCTGATGCTGGGTTGAGTGGGCATTTACCAGAACAACTAGGCAGCTGCAAGAATCTAAAGATCCTAGACTTGTCTTTCAATTCCTTCTCTGGTCCTCTTCCTGCAAGTCTTGCAGGACTCGAATCTATCACGACATTTATCGTAGAAGGAAATCACCTGGAAGGTCCCATTCCCCCCTGGATTTCGAACTGGAAGATGGTAAACTCCATTAGGTTGGGCAAGAACCAATTCAGTGGATCTTTGCCTCCACTTGATCTGCCATTTCTGACCTCATTCTCTGCTGATGCCAATCAACTCTCTGGAGAAATTCCCTCTAAGATATGTGATTGCAGGTCCTTGTCTTCTCTCTCTTTATCGGAGAATAAACTAACTGGCAGCATCGAAGAAACCTTCAGAGGATGCTCTAATCTTACTGATTTGATCCTACTTGGGAACAACTTACATGGTGAAATACCAGACTACTTGGGTGAGCTTCCACTGGTTACATTGGAACTGTCACAGAATAATTTCTCTGGACATGTTCCGGATCAACTGTGGAGATCTCCAACGATTCTAGAGATATCTTTGAGCAACAATCTACTTGCAGGCTGCATTCGGATCGCCGTCGGCAACATTTCTAATTTGGAGAGACTACAACTAGACTATAATTTCTTTGAAGGATCCATACCAAAGTCCATTGGCAAGTTGAGAAATCTGACAAACTTGTCTCTGCATGGAAATAGACTATCTGGGGAGATACCAACCGAGCTCTTCAACTGCACAAACCTTGTGGCGTTGGATTTGGGTTCAAACAATCTGACTGGTTCTATTCCAGAAGCCATATCTCGGTTGAATCTGCTGGACGATTTAGTTCTGTCGAACAACCAACTCTCTGGTCATATTCCAGGTGAGATCTGTGCTGGATTTCAGCGGGCTGCTTACCCAGATTCGGAGTTCACGCAGCACTATGGTGTGCTCGATCTTTCCTACAACAATCTCACAGGTCAGATCCCTGCGGCCATCAAGAACTGCGCAGTGTTGAAGGAGCTAAGGCTGCAAGGCAACATGCTCAGTGGCAGCATCCCTCCTGAGCTTGCAGAGCTGACGAACCTGACCTTGCTTGATTTCTCCTTCAATTCCCTCAGCGGCCCGATTCTGGTTCAGGTTTCCCCCTTGCAGAGCCTACAAGGTCTTCTCCTGTCAAACAATCAGCTCGGTGGTCTCATTCCAAGCGAGTTGAGCTTGATGCTCCCCAGCTTAGTGAAGCTCAATTTGTCGTCCAACAGGCTGACTGGTCCTATTCCGGAGACCGTCTTTGACATCAAGACACTTACAGATGTTGATATCAGCTCGAATTCACTCTCTGGTTCAATCCCGTTCGGTGGCAGCATTGCCAGGGGGATCAGCTCCCTGCTTATCTTCAATGCCAGCAACAACTACTTGAATGGCACCATGTCGGAGTCGGTGTCGAATCTTACCTCCCTGGCTGTTCTTGATCTCCACAACAACAGTCTCACTGGAAGTTTGCCGTCATCGCTCTCCAAACTTGACTATCTGACTTATCTGGACCTCTCCAACAATGGCTTTCTCGGCGACATCCCCTGTGACGTCTGCAGTATCGTCGGGCTTTCCTTCGCCAACTTCTCCGGCAACAAGCTGTACAGGTATGCGCCGGAGGAATGCGCTTCAGCAAATCGATGTGTAGCACAGTTGGTACCTTATCCACCACCAACTCGATCACCAAATGGGGGGTTGATTTGGGGCGTCGGTCTTGGTGCTGCAGTAGGATTGCTAGCTCTGGTGTTCCTTCTGCTCAAGTGGAAAGCAATGAGGCAGCAGTCCCTGGATCTTGTCTCCACTGACAAGGCCAACTTGGCAGCCGTCGAGCCGGCCTCCAGTGACGAGCTGCTGGGGAAGAAGATGAAGGAGCCATTGAGCATCAACGTAGCCACATTTCAACACGCCCTGCTGCGGCTGACTCCGAGCGATATCATGAAAGCCACCGAGAACTTCAGCAAGGCTCGAATTATAGGCGATGGCGGTTTCGGCACCGTCTACAGAGCAGTTCTGCCGGAGGAATGCGTGGTGGCAATCAAGAGGCTTCACGGTGGCGGCCAGTTCCAGGGCGACCGCGAGTTCTTGGCCGAGATGGAAACAATCGGGAAAGTGAAGCACCGAAACCTCGTTCCACTGCTCGGATACTGCGTCTTCGGCGACGAGCGGTTCCTGATATACGAGTACATGGAGAACGGGAGCCTCGAGGTCTGGCTGCGGAACCGAGCTGATGCTGTCGACGCCCTCAGTTGGCCCGTAAGACTCAAGATTTGCCTGGGATCCGCTCGTGGCCTTGCCTTCCTTCACCATGGCTTCGTGCCTCACATCATTCACCGCGACATGAAATCCAGCAACATCCTACTCGACAAAGACTTCGAGCCGAGAGTCTCAGACTTCGGCCTCGCACGTATAATTAGCGCCTGCGAGACGCATGTCAGCACCGACCTCGCGGGGACGTTCGGATACATCCCGCCGGAGTACGGGCTTACGATGAGAGCCACCGCGAAGGGGGACGTCTACAGCTTCGGGGTGGTTACGCTGGAGTTGCTGACGGGATGGCCTCCGACGGGACAAGAGGAGGTGGAAGGCGGCGGAAACCTGGTTGGGTGGGTGAGGTGGATGGTGGGGCGTGGGAAGGAGGCTGAGGTGTTCGACCCATGCTTGCCCCACGCCGGTGGCGGCCCGTCCAGGGAGCAGATGATGCGGGTGCTCGCGGTCGCACGCGCATGCACCGCCGACGAGCCGTGGAAGAGGCCCACCATGCTCGAGGTGGTAAAGATGCTCAACGAGATTAAGATGGAAGCGTGTGGTGATCTCGTTACCCGCCATGTCTGATAGATGCTTGCTGGTATGACCTCAGTAAAATGCAGTAGAACAGAGACTCCTTGTCAACATGCATTATGTCGGACGTTACGTACATGTACTATGGTAATTGGATGTAACATGTCGGTATTTGATGGATTATACAATCGTAACGGTACCGTCTATCTTCCTTTTAAATCATTTAAAATATAAAAAACCTATAAATAATAATAATAATAATAAAAATAAATAAATAAAATAACCAATCGATCAGCTGAATCGGCGAACGCAGAGAGCGTTGCTGCCTTACTGCCGCTCCCGTCTCTGTTCCCTTCATCGCCTCCTTCCTCAGATCCGCTCTCGTCTCTCTCTGTTTCCGTTTGCCTTTTTCTCTTTTGAGCTGAGATCTTTGTTCATTTTGTCGATCCGATCTGTTCTTGTTCCCAATTCCCCACCCTCGATCTCTTCTCGTTCTCTAATGTATTGATTCCTTGGGTCTGCTCCCCTTCTTTCGCCTCCATTCCGTCTCCCCCTCTTCTTGAAATTGCATAGTTTGGATCTGAATCTGGGGTGTTAGCTCCGTTGCCATGGATCGGTCCGGCGGGAGCCCTGGATTTGGGCTCTCCTCGATTGTTGTTCTTCTGCTCATCTTCCTCGGTTCCTTTTCCTCCCTGGTGTTGGCCCAGGTAATTTCCGAATTTTTTTGTTGTCCTTTTTCTTCCGTTCTTCAGCTAATGAAGAAGTGGATTTTGTTGATTTGACATTTGAGTTTTGTTCGCTTTTCAGGAATTAGAGGTGGACAATGATGAGACTGCATCGAGCTTCTCGGCCAAATCGTTGGATCGGCGCACGAAGGCGAGCTGAACTTTCCATGTTGCATCTTCTTGATGGCGATGCTTTGCGTCTCTCTTCCTTTGATGGTTTTTCTTTCCACATTCGCTGCAGATGTTGCTTCACCCATTCCGAAAAGATGAGAATGCGAGCGACGGCAGAGTTGTGTCTTTGGACCAAACGGGGTTGGGGCTCTTCGATGCCTTCTTTGCTAGCTTGTCCATGATCATTGTCAGTGAGGTGTGTGTGCTTGACTTTGCTCATGGATTTAGCAAGTTTGGTTCTTGAATTAGTTTGGTTACACTAACATTAACCGTCATTTCAATTGCTAGATCGGAGATGAGACTTTTATTATTGCTGCTCTTATGGCGATGCGTCATCCAAAATCAATTGTTTTGTCTGGTGCACTCATGGCGCTTGTTGTGATGACGGTAAGCTTCTTTGCATGTCACAAGGCTTTCCCATTGTTGAGATACTTGTTCTTCTACATTTCCTTTCTCAAAGTCTTCTCTATGTTGTGAGTATTGCATCCTTATCTGTGTTATTGGCAGTTTCGTTTCAGTACTACTTGTCGTTTTAGGTACTGTCAACTGGACTTGGTAGGATCGTGCCCAATTTGATATCGAGGAAGCACACCAACAGTGCAGCTACTGGTAAATATTTCCCTTTGCGTGTTTGACTAGGATGGACTGCTGACCTGATAAAGACATTAATAAGTGGATGGATATTTCCCTTTCTATGTTATGCAGTCTGCTAATCTTGTCTTTCTTTTTCTCTCTGCTGGTGTATCTTTTCTTATTTCTTTCTTTAGTGAGTCTCCTCTTAAAACAAGATAACAAAACTATTTTTATAGGAAAAAGTCTAACTAGGAATACATTTGATTGGATCATATTGTTTTCTCAATCATATCGTTACTGCTTTACTGAATATAATTCTTTGGTTGTTCTTTCTGTGATGTTTTCTTAAAATTGATCCATTGGCCACTCAGTGGAATTCTCTTTTCTGTAACTTTTGGGTTCACTTTATTGGACAATATGATTGTAGTGTTTATTGTATCTGAGACAAAGTAATTTATTCCTATGAACTTCAGAAGGTCAGATCACTGCAAAATATATTAATTTGTGATAAGCAGTCTTTTGGAGTGCCTTGTAGTATTAGCTTCTCTGTTTATTATTACAGTGCTTTATGAATTCTTTTGGGCTGCAGGTGTTAAAAAAAAAAGAAAAAGAATTGGTTTCTGATAAGTAGTTGTTTGATCCATGAACTGGTGTGCGGTATTAACTTTTATGTTTACTCCAAGCAGTGCTTTATGCATTTTTTGGCCTTCGATTACTGTACATTGCCTGGAGATCAGATTCGAAGACATCACAGAAGAAGGAAATGGAAGAAGTATGTTAATCATTTTTTGGAATAAAATGATTTGAAATTTAATTGCCTGACTGTTCCTGATGATTTTGTTACTATATTCTTGCTTAGTTTAAAAATGTAAATTTTACTTGGAGTGTTAAGGAACTTTGCTATATTACTTTTCTCTTCTTGGCCTTAACAGTTTTACTCTGTTGATGCATATTACCACATTCAAATTGAAACTTGTTGCAGTGAAAATTTCTTGATGATACATGGCTTTAATATATAACTTGGAGATTATATATTTAGTGGGCCAAAGTAAAACATTAACTATAACTATTTCATGCAAGTAAACTATTGTAGGCTATCATGGCTGACTTGCAGCCTTTTCTTTTCTTATCTCTGGCTGATGGAATGATATAAAATATTATGTTTTGTAATGGAAGTTTGATATGTGGATACGTATCATCTACAAATTTTTATAACTTCATTCAACTTCAACTCTATCATATTTGTTTCAACAGATTGAAGTCAAAACTGACTCCTTTATCCTGTGAAAACCACACTAAATTCATTGTTCTATGAATCAGCAGATGAAATGACTTCAAAAGTTCTTTATTGTTCTAAAAATTTTATAAGAAAATTTTATGTTGTTAACTTGTATGATGAAATGAATGCAGGTTGAAGAAAAACTTGAGTCAGGGCAAGGGAAGTCGACATTGCGCCGCTTCTTTTCAAGATTTTGTACACCAATATTCTTGGAGGTACGTCTTCTTTCAATCCTAATTACTTGTGGGTGATAGGAACTACCTTTACATGTTTTCTCTTTTGGTTCTGAAGGGGTCTCTTGTGGTTTGGTTTACATTGATGCCGTCGAACATTCCAAGACCTAGTACTACTGATGACTCAACTTTTATTGATGTAACTACCTTCTCCATGCAGTCATTTATTTTGACCTTTTTGGCTGAGTGGGGGGATCGCAGTCAGATAGCAACTATTGCGGTGAGCTTATCTTTTGTGCTAATTGTTCTTTTATGCCTCTTATAGTGGTTAATGCAACTAGTGATTGACACCTAGCATCATCTGGATGTTTGAACTGCACTTCATCTACTTTCTCATAATTAATAACTCGGTTCCTTTCATTCAAATTTGTATTGAGTAGTTCCTGTTTTGTCTAATTCCTAAACTAATTTAGCTGTCCACTTAGTTGTTTGTCCTCCATGCTCCAGTCAATCTATCTTCCAAAATAATTTTAGAAAATTTTGTCTTGATAAAGTTGTTAGCTTTTATTAAGTGTATTTGCTTGTGATACAAAGCTAGTTGGCTGCTCACGTTAGTACATCTAAAACCTTATCAAGTATGCCCTTATATGGTAAGGCTCTCATAGTCAGCTCATTCCCAATGGTTTCTAGCTCTGCCATGAGTTACAGGTTATGGTGTCCAACCATGACATTCTTCTAGGTTTCATGTTTATGTAAATTCGACAGACTACCTGATAAATATGATTTGCAAGGATCAGCATATCTGCCTCAATGGCACTGCATGATATTGGCACATGAATCAGGGCTAGATGCATTTCCAAGTGTTTGATTTGGCCAGAAACCAAGAAATACATGTGAAGACATGTATGAGAAACTATTTGATAGAATGGTACCAATGTCTCAATGTTAAGAGGGTGTGAGAATTAGAACATATGTTCGTGAGAAGCCTAAACCAAAGGGGCTTAATCTCTATCATTAGTTGATTCCTGAGATCAATGATCAAGAGATTCTCACAGTGGGCTTCTCCTTCCTCCTTGTTTCCGTTTCTCTTCCTCTCTCATTGTCTTCTTCCTCCGCTTCCAACAGCATTAAAGAAATTTGTCTTCTTCTTCCTGCTCAACATTTTGCAGTTTCCTTTTATTGAATAAAAAAAGAAACTACAGAATCACACTGACATGATTTCACCACATGTTTACAAATCTCTGAAGTCTGAAGTCTACTAATTGAACAAGTAACATGTCGCGTTGTGGATCATGCAGCTGGCAACTCACAAGAATGCAATTGGCGTTGCTGTGGGAGCAACTCTGGGACACACCATATGCACATCATTAGCAGTGGTCGGAGGGAGCATGCTGGCGTCAAAGATCTCACAGAAAACAGTGGCTACTATTGGCGGCCTCCTGTTTTTCGGGTTTTCTTTGTCATCATACTTCTACCCTCCATTATGATGTTAAATATCTGATTTTTTTTTTTATGGTAACCATTTGTTCCAAATAGAACTTTTCTTTCCTTTTTGCTGTGCCCATTTTTTTGGGCATCCAACACAGATATAATTAATTTAAATTGTAATTTGAAAGTCCTTTTAGTGTCTGTGTCATATCTTCTAATGTTTCGTAAGGTAGAAGACTCGGTAAAAGATTAGTCTGCTTTGGATCCTTTCGGGCTTTTCTTTTTTCCTGTTGTTGTTTTGCTAGTTAGTTAAATTAGTTAACTGTTAATAATCCAACATTAATTAAGCTATATATATATATAATAAGATTCAAAAATATATCGAATAATATTTTTAATCCTCAATCTTTGAAAAGTGAGTTTAATAAATTATCATCAGATCAATGTTTAAAGTATAAAAATAAGTTGGATGGATGTGATAAATAATATGACTTTATATATATATATATATATATATATATATAAAGGATAAAAAGCACACTTGAGCTTTCACTTATTTCATGCCAATAACTTCCTCTCCTGTTCCATTAATGAGGCCATGAGAGAACGGCGCATGGGCAAGCTCGTCGTCCTTCCCTTCTCCGCCAGCTGCGTCTCCCGCTCCAGTGTTGCCGTCAGCCAAAGCCAACCAAAGAGAGTACAAGGTGTCCCACCATCTCTCTCTCTCTCTCTCTCTCTCTCTCTCTCTCTCTCTCTCTCTTGCTGTATCATGTTTCTTGGTCGCATTGCAGGAAGAGAGCTCGAGAAGCAGTCCACTGCGAAGACGAAGAGGGCTCACAAGATCCAGAAGCTGCTGATCAAGAGTCTGAAGAGCTTATCTCAGATGTTTGCGGTTTACGAAGAGGAGGATGAAGAGAGGGAGATGGAGATCGGTTTCCCGACCGACGTGCAGCATGTGGCTCACATAGGACGGGATGGGTTCGACACTACTGCTGCTGCCATGAACAACATGGACGTGAAGAGCTGGGTCAAAGGTCCGGAGCTCCTCCCGCTTGACCCCGTCTCACTGCAGCAATTTGAGGCGGCCATGGCGACGCTGGCTTCTGTTCCTCCACCCCGCCGTCCGTGAGGTGCTGCTGCTTTGTTGTTCTTCCTATTTGCTTCTTCTTCTTCTTCTTGCTGCTTTCGTTAAGCCGTCACATTTTAGTAGTTCTTGTTCTCTACTTGGTGTTTGTGATAACAATATGGACTTCGTCGAATCATCTCTCTCTCTCTCTCTCTGACCTCAGGCAATGCTGACACTGTTGGTTCACGTGACTTGATGTCCCACCAAAACCTCTCCATTTGTTTATAATCCTTGACATTAATCTAAAACAAAGAGACATAATCTTGTTTGTATCTCAACTCAAACATTTGTCCTTAGTAGAGAGAGAATCTAATCAACGTTCGAGTTTTCAAGGTAATCATATCTTACACAACAGCTCTCATAGTCTTCTTCCTCACAACAACGAGTCTCGTGATCTATCATCTCCAATGCATTCTCTTCTGTAAGAACTTGGGAATCAATCTTGAAGGTAACTAAACTCCTTTGTTTTTGGGATACGTGTGAATTTGATCCTTCATTTGCAGTCTTTCACTTGTATCCCCCGACTCAACAAATAAAGATGCATGAGATGAAAGCATACAACCGTATACAGATACGTATGCGTTTATGTATGTATGTAATTAGCAAAATCATTTATATATGTATGGAATTAGAAAAATCTATGCAAAATTGGGCAATTTGTTGCCATCTCTAAATTATGTTGCTCCCATTCATAGGAGTAGCCATTTATTATTATAATCCATTAAATTTATAATAAAAAATCATCGGTTTGATTCCGGTTCTAATTTCTAAGAATAAGAACCAAATTGTATAGTTTAGGTATTAGTTTTATTCGGAATCTTCGAATCTTTATCTGATTTGATTCAGAATTGTTTGAGTCGTTAACCCAATTCAATTTCCATTTAGGATCAATCCAATTTTAATTCGAACGAGCTATATAAGTGAATCATAAAGACCTTGATGAAAAGCAAGTAACTAACTTATTGTCAAAAATCTTAAATCAATATTTTCATATTTATTTTTCATTAGGATGTGGAGTTGATATTAAAAGGGAGATTTTGATAAGTTTTGAATGAAGAGGAATCGTTAAATTTACATTTAATCATTACCTTCTTTCATTTAGTTGCAGTTATATATATATATATATATATATATATATATATATATATATATATATATATATATATATATATATATATATATATATATATATATATA